ACCAGATTCAATAGAAGCTCCCACACGTTGGATATTGCGTGCCAAGGCAAAGACAGGCACGTTAGTCAAAGATCATTAGGGTTGATTATGCCCTTGATGAAGCTCTATGTCTTCATCTAAACTTGGATGCATACTTCATCCCTGATGAAGTCATCCTCATAGTATTCGAGTGGTCTTTATATTTCAACATTTTACAACTAAGTCTCTTTGCAATACGCCTTTTGAAAAGCCTTATTTCTACAATTTTCCCCCATAAATTAATAATATCAGAATCTAGTATCCTCTCTAATCTAACATTTTGAAACACTGATGGACCCAGCATTGGATGTGCCATCATTTGCATCCACATTAATGGAATGATATATATTTATATTAGATCTACCACCACTTGCAATTAACTGGTGCTTTTCTTCGGTTAGCTGTGGACGTAGTTCAGGTAATGGATTCCCCATGTAAATTACGTAATGCTGACTTATTAGGATAATATTAAATATTAGAGTAACAACTGACAGAGCCATTTTTGGAATATTTCCTGTAAATTGTTTGTTGCTGTGCTCGATGATGCAGTAAATGTTCATTTGGAGAAGGCTTAGAACACCACCGCTAAAGTCTAGCAATACACCTCCAATGTGGAAACCTTCTGTGGATTTGCGATGGTAATTTAGCCATACTTGTGGAGTATACTAGAAGGGATTTTAAAAAATGGACTAAATGAGGGTTAAGAAAGTTACTATAAGGCTGCGTTCGTTTACACAGTATCGGATGGTCAAAAAGTCGTAAGTTTATGCGTTCAGTTCACATGTGTGTATGATAGACGCTGTGCTATCCAGACAAATAGACCTCCTCGGCTCTGGAGCGCTCGAGCGTAATGTGGTCCGTTTCAGACCACGKGTCACTCCCTTGAGAATAATATTCTTTGTTTGAGTTGTATCCATATTCGTGTTTCTTCTCATGTGCAACCATTAAACAAAGATATGATACTCTAGGGAATGACACGTGGTCTGAAATGGGACAACATTACGTCAGAGCCGAGAAGGTCTATTAAAAATTCAGTCGCACAGTTTGGGCCAGCAAAATTTAGATAGAATTTTAGACTAGCTTGCGCGGATAACAAATTGGCCGGTACCGTGTAAACACCTTGTCCGGATAACTTTTCGTACAGCAAGGCCTAGCAAGTATGCTTTGCGCATTTTCAGATGGTAAATTTCTACTTCTGCAACGTCGCATGCAACATCACAGCGTAAGACACCCCACAATTTAAACAGCATTTTTAATGCAACGTTGGATGCGCTGTCTGCATTAATCGTGTGTCTGCATCTTCGGGTTACATGAAGTTTTGCGCCGCACAAAATAGCAAAATTAGTAGTCTCGGGGGGAAAATGACGCGGAAATCAAGTGTGGATCATAAAGCTAATAAAGCCGGGATAAAAGAAGTTGTTACTTGGAAGATCTTGGAACAAAGGGCTGTCACAGTGTGTGCAGCCACGTAACTCAAAATCCCTTGAGATTGACGGAATAACAATGAAACAGCCGCCATCTTGGTTGTTTTAACAAGAGAAGCTAGGAATGCTTTGCGATGGCGGCAATGACGTAACATGCACCTGTATAAATAATGCACAACTTCAACAATACGAACACTTTGAAACTTGACAGACCTTGACTGGAAAACGTGAATATTCTTCACAAAATCTAGGCTAAGCCTGAGTAAATGAGTCTGTAATCAAGACAATCTAAAAGGGTCTATTTTCTCTCATTTTGCAACGGAAAAATCATTAGCGAGCGAGACTTTGAGTAAGTCTACGGCTAGCTGGGAGAAAATTGATACAGTCCAGTTATTTGAAAAATAATAAATTTAAACAAATGAGAAACTAAATGACGAAACATTAGTCTAAACTAATTGACCTTTCTTGCCGTGCGAGATGAAATTCTGAAATAGTGAAGCGAGAAGATAATCTATCTTTTTTAAATAAACACAATTATCGACAAATTCAAAATATAATTAAGAGTCACTTACCGTTCCAAACGACACAGCAAGTTTAAGGTATCCACAATATTGTAACACAAGCACCCAGGAGAGGAGTTTGAAAGCAGCAAACAGCGAAAGTGCGCCTAGTGCGAGCAGAGCAAGACAACAGACGACCCATGTAGAGATATGGACTTTCTGCGACCCACGCTCGAAGAAAAAACATTGTAGGCCCTGAATTGCGGTGCAAACGAAGGCGACGAGAGCAAACACTACATCGGTCAGCTTTACAGGGTTAGATTCGTGGGTTTTTCCGATCATTTCTTGTTGGATTTGAATATCGAAGTATACAACAGCATTGTAGACGAGATATGTTAAGTAGCTGAGCAAGAAGTACGCCACCATGTCGAAGGAATATCCAATTACACTCTTACGGCGACAGTTTTCGTAAATTTGCGGATAAAAAGATATTGTCCATGCCAAGAAATAGCCCCATCCTACTACATCAGCGATCACTGAGAGGCCATTTTCCAAAGCCATGATATCTACTTCAAAGCACTACTTGAAACAACACGTGCGTATAGTGAAGTGATTGATGTACTTGAGAATTTAATAGCAGAAATGAGTAAGACCGGAGGTACATTTGGCGGAAGTGAATAAAACCGGAAATAAGTTTGAAAACAATTTTTGATTGTAGCTACAATAGTGTTCACACTAAATCCGTGAAACAAATACTAATTTACGGTTTTAGTGCGTGCACTCTAGTTGATAAATATTAAAATAATGAGATTTAGCCTAAGTGGGATCTTGACAGAATGGTTCCTTATTTGCTACAATAATTGGAATTTGTACATGTAATAGGACTCCATGCTGTCCAATTAAGAAATAATTGGACGAGGAAAATTCAGAGGACTGACAAAATTGGATGAGGCTGTAGGCCGAGTCCTATTTGGCATGCGCAGTCAGAGGAATTTTTCGAGTCTAATTATTTCTTGATTGGGGAGCATGAAATCCCATTACCTAGTAATCATATAGCTGCCTAATCAATCCCATATCAACAAGACCTGTCCAATTAAGAAAATAATTGGACAGTTACCAATATGGGATTAAGAAGCTGAGAAGCTGTAAAATTTATAATTAAATTGGATTAGTTGGAATTTTTATTGAGGAAAATTGGAGAACCTTGAACCATTGGAGAGAACCATCAAACAACTCTACTTGCACTGCTGAAAGGCAAGAAGTCCAGACTCTGGCCCCTCCTTTGACCACTCTGACCACAGGCAGCCCAACAAAAGTAGACCAGTCAAAGGAGTGTCTGAACTAAGTGGCAAGCAGTACACCATTACACTCCTATTTCATTCTTTGAATTTATCTCTGATTAGTTCTAGGGACTATCTCTAGCTCTAGACAATACTTTTGAGTTTAAAACAAGTTTTGTTTTGAACAACCACCCTTTGATTTATTTATCTGCTTTCAATTTATAACAGCCCACAGCTGAGTCTCAGACAAGTAAAATGGCCTTTGCTTGCAAACAAAAAAAACTCAGTATACCTAGTTTGAAGAAATAATGGTGGCAGAGGTAATGAACTTGCCTCTCACCTCTGGAGTCACAGGTTCAATATTACTTAACTCATCATCACATGTGAGTAGAGTTTGTTAGGTGATTCTCTTGACTTGAGGGGTTTTCTCTGGGTGCTCTGGTTTTCCTTTCTCCACAAAAAACTAACATGCTAAATTATGATTCGATCTGTGGGTTAGTGGCTCCCTGCCCTCCCCCCTCAATTTCACCTGTCCCCCCCCATCTCTGCCATACATTGTGAACGCAGCCTTACATCAGCCCAGAGGTTGTTTCAGGGTTCAATCTGTGAGTTTGCCATGCCCTGACTTAGAGTAGCCCAGAGGTTGTTTCAGGGTATGAATAAATTTGAAAGAACGTTTTTTTACAGCAAAAAAGATTTACTGTTTTTAACTTTGATTATTTGTTTACAATACACTAGAATGAAGTCATTAAACCCGTGAAATAGATATTAGACTAATACACTTTAGTAGACCATGATTCCATTGTTTTCTTTTGTGTCTATTTGACTATTACACGTTGACTAGTATTTTTTATTTCATGGGTTAAATGCTTTCGCTCTATATCCCTATGTAGTGAAGATTACAGTAAATTGGAATCCACCTTAACACATTTCTGTGACAATTTCAAAAAATATTTAGTTTGGTTTTGTAGAATGTTTCATGCATCTTGAGATCAAGGTTGTCATGCCATGGGCAGTTCATGAGCAGCTGCATACCTGATGGAAACAAAAGCAAAATTTGGTGAATTGTGTTGATTGTAAAATGAACCTCAATGCAATAATGTACTTTTGACATTTACAAAAAATGTATTCAAAAACAGTGGTATGCATTGGATGTGAGAATGGTGTAATCTATTTCAATTTTTACCTTCCCATAACATGATGAAATAACTGTCTTTCTATGTCCCCAAGCAATGAGCTAGCACCAATGCGGAATAGATTAGGGTGAGTCCACGCATCACCCAGCTCTTCTTTCATTAATGAGAGCCAGGTCAGAGCATCTTTAGCACTTCTGATTCCTCCCGCAGGCTTAAAGCCAACTCTATGTCCAGTACGCTATGAAATCATCCAAGAGGAATGTTAATGTTAAACAAAGAAGTCCAGCTTCACTTCAACAGACCTTATTTGTGGTGTGACAATGTTCTCCCAATTGAACGTGACAAACCTCTAGGGGAATGAACAGCTATTGTTTTGAAACTCTTCGGGATATTATCGTTATTCCTTTCGTATCTTTTGGGATACTCATGAATTTTCCAAAGAGTTAAAAACAAAAGAAAATGAAACCTCTGGAGGTTTGTCAGTATGCTGAATCGGAAAAACATTGTTACACCACAAAAAAGGCATAGTGTACACAATTTGGTGGCAATTGCTTGACATCAAAATATGGGAGTAATTTTTGTCATCCAAACAAGCAAAACCAGCTATTCTGTAATAGCCATTCACAACTAAACTTTATGCTAAAAGAAGCAAACATACTTCTTGGTTCTTTGTTCTTCCTTATAACGAGAGTTTTTTCTCTGGGTCCTGTAGTTTTCTCCAGAGCTTTGTCAAATCAACTAATTCTAAATTCTAATTCTTCAATCTTAGAATAGACTGCTTTCCCAAGGTTGCGTCCACATCCAAATTTAAGGAACTTGATGGGCCACGACACCAGCACACTAGCTTTATAATAAGAATTATCATACATTTCTATGTACTTGTTTTCAATAAGAATTCATAAAATTGATTATTCTCCTCTTTAAGTTTAAAACTGGCTTCTCAAGATTGGATGCGCACGCAACCTAGAGAAAACTGTCTATTTGACAGCCTGCTATAAGTGGCATCATGCAACCCTCAATTCTCTATGAATAGTGTCTGTGGTAAGGGACTAAGAATCAGACAACCAAATATGTTAGATAACTCTTTGTGGCTAATATAAATATTAAAAATAACAGCTATTCATTTTTTTATCACTCTACAAACCAACCTACCTGATAATAGTCTCTAATAGCTCTAACCATCACCAAGGCAACCGGAAATGTTGCATTTACAGTCTCCTTTCCAGTCGAAGTTTTGATGAAATCAGAACCAGCCATCATAGCAACCAGACTTGCCTTGTAAACATTGGTAAGTGAACCACATTCTCCCGTCGCTAAAATTGTCTTCAAATGTGCTTCTCCACAAGCTTTTCTCATTGCAAGAATCTCTTCGTAGAGTGCTTGCCAGTTGCCAGACAAAACATGACTTCTGGTGATGACGATGTCAATCTCTTTTGCTCCTGCAGCAACTGCAGCTTCTATTTCTTCTATTCTCTGTTTCATTGGTGTTTGACCTTAAAATAAAGATTCAAAAACTTTATTTACACTATTAAATCAATTTGGAGAGCAGCTTGCATGCATACTCAGTGGATAGCCATTTGTCAAGAATTTTTTCTTTATACCAGCCTGTGTTAAGTTGGTAACCAGTTTTATGAGTTTGAGCTAAAGATTCAGTAGAGGGAAGGAGAAAATAAAAAATTTTCTATTAGTGACAAGTGACATGGCCTTGAAAGGGCAACACGAGAGCAACAAATTAGTGACAAATGAGAGGCTGCTCTAATGAATCACAGAAAGTGCGCTATACTTAGGCCCTGTGAGTAGTAAAATTCTGACAGCGACAAAAGAACATTTTAAAATTGCAACATAGGCAGTTGTGAAATTCAGATGCAGAACATGGGTACCCCCTAATAGGGCCGTATTAGTCCACATTACATTAACACTACTACTCATCCACCCTACCCCCCACCCCCATAGACAACTGCATTTTGATGTTTAAAATCATTGTACAAATTTCACATTGTACATTTTTATGCTTCAGTATATTACTTATTTCAAGTAGCTTTAAGCATCTGCTTGGTGTAGACATTGACCCAAACCTCTCTTGGTCTGTTCATACTGAAAATATGCAGGAAAAACTACTCAGTAGGATCACTATGTTTTCTCGAATCAAGAGATATCTATCAACTAAACACCGGATTCTGTTATTTAATGCCAGTATCAAACCTATGATGGTAGAGTGCAAAAAATAATATAACTTTTTTGTAAACTTGGATGGTACCCTATTCATAAACTCTGTCTGGCCCAACGACTTGCACTGCTTCTCTAGTGAAAATTCATGCTAAGCTGGCTCCTCAATATCTCATTGACAAACTGGACACTTTCAAGTTCTCCCACAGTCATAACACTAAAAACTCTTTCATATATAGATTACCTAAACCTCGAACTATAATAGCTTAAAAAGAACATTTTTCTACAACTCAATTAATCTTCTAAATAAGCTGAACATTAATCCAGCCTCAAGTATTAAGAACACTTGAAAGACATTTTTTTCTTCCATTATAAAATCTTATACTAATTTTAAAGTATTACGTATTTATTAAACATTTTCCCGGTATCTTTGATATCTTTTGCTCGTCATAATAATAATTTACGAATAATAATTACTTAATTTATACAATCATTCATATTATAATTACATCATATGTGTTCAAGAGGGCTTGGATTAGCTTGTTGCACATGGCCTGGTGGCCCCTGGAACAATGTTTTTTTCCRTGGTGGTGCATGTTGCCATGTGTCTTGGTCCAAAACCTCCCAAAAACCTGGACACTTTGCCGACTTGTCATACAATAATTTCATATTCATATTTGTATTTACATCATATGTTTCAGGAAGGCTTGGATCGGGTTACAATGCACATGCACCTTGTTTCCACTTTTCGTGGTGGTGCACGCCTGCATGTATGTCTTGGTCCAAGCCTTCTAGAAAGCTTGAATACGTTTAATATATTATACATATTTGTAATTTTTTATCAAATTTTACCCTCTAATTTATTATCTTTTATGATGTTTGTATTTTTTTGTTTAATTACCTTTTATTATTGTAATATATCTCTATATTTTTGTTAGGGCCGTAAGGGAGAGTACAGTTTTATGTAATTACGGTTCCCTTTTTAAATAAAGTGTTACTAATACTACTAATACTACCTACCTGCAGGGAAGCCAGCTGCAACCGATGCAACCGGAATCTTGGAATTAAGATTTCTGAGCGTATGTACAGCATCATCAACTCTTGATAAATAGATACACACAGCACCTGTAGTAATCCCTCGGTCAGCCATTCCCATCTCAACCAACAGGTCTTTACGGATAGGATTTTGCGCTTTAAAACACAACCGACTGACATTTGTACTCGTATCGTCTCCAGCGAGTGTAGTGAGATCGATGCAAGACACAGCTCGCAAGAGCCATGCTGCCTGCCATTGTTTTTTGACTGACCTTCGTGTCTTTAATGTCTCAGATCGCCTTTTTACGGCGGGAAAATTAACCCTTGAATTTTCAACCCATGTTAAATTAAGTGGAAAGCCTGGATTGCGAATTACATGTGAAGACATTATTGCAAATCTAATAAATCTTGGTCTGTTTTGCAACTCGAGAACCCTTCGTTTTGTTCGCCACGTGTTTCGGTAATATCTCGGAAACCTCTCGGAAAAATTGATTTTGTTCTTCTTTAAGTCGATATTTATTCGGAAACTGTTCCTCCAAAGGCGAACACGAGCCGAAGAAATGRAATCCGATACTGGTGCTTGGAACGCCTGCTCAAATTTTCGAATTAGTTTTTGAAAATGAATTTTATCTTATTTATTTTTTATTGATTCGAGAGAGGAATATTTAAAAGCATGTGCTAAACCAATCTCTGAAGCAAATTTAAAGTTTAAAAAAAAATCGCTTTGATTTCAAAACTTTCTATTCTTCCTTTAATGCTTGGATATTATGCGCAGAGGGGGAGGGGGGATTTTATACGAACAATGTAATG